ATAATTGACAGGAAAATGCTGGAAAGATAATGCCACTATTAAGCAGAATTGTACAGTTTTTCCCTGAGTTTTGCAATGAGACCCTCAGTAAGTCTTCTTCCTAAATATATTTTAGCTTTGAAACTAGCATTCTTTGTGTATAGGAAATCTGCAGTGGCAAAACTAATCTTTTAACCAAGCAGTGTTAGATGAGGTGCAATTATAGCTCTTTATTTGAGCTCTCCACATGGGATGCTGTGGGGCAGTCCAAGTATTGGGAAGATACTTTCAAATATGAGGAATGTTTTGGCATAGAGTGCTCCAAAACCCTCACTGAGAAGCATTGTGTTAATATAATATGCTGATAAGTATTTACTACTTCCAAATTTGGGGGATATCTATTTCCCTTCTTACATGCAAGCCTGCAGGGGCAGTCAGAGAACTATACACTGAACTGAGCTACTTTAGTCTAGTGGTTAAGGCACCAGGCTAGAAACTGGAAGACCATGAGTTCTAGTCCCACCTTAGACATGGAAGTCAGCTGAGTGACTTTGGGCCAATCATTCTCTCTCTCACCTCTCAGACTGTTGTTGTGTAGGAAGGAGTATAAGATGTATTTGCCACCTTGAGTTGTTCATAATAATAATAAAGATGGTATATAAATAAATAATAGTGTCTTGACTTGCAGGTTCACTGTAATCATAAACATGGAGTGTCGAACCAGCAGAACGTTTAAGTTCAAGTATTTGACAACACTTGAATTGTCTCCTCTCGGGAGAAGCAAAATCTTTAATTTATGAAGTGCCACAACACATTACAAATCAACACATCTTAATATACCACTGCATGGTAGTTTACATTTGTTTGCTTTAATTCTTCAGATTAGCTTTTATTGGATGAAAATGTTCTTTGCTATTCAAATTGTTCCTGGGTTTCCTTATTCTATGCTCCTCTCATTTCCCATAAGATCATTACTTTAACAGAGTTAGTTATCTTGTACTGTTTATCGGTTTTGTCAAAAGGTTTAATGGGTTTTCTTAGTTGGAGGAGAGAAAATGCCTTCATTTGTTGTTTCTCAATCATAACTTTCTAAGGAGGAGCTAAAAAAAATTTGCCTTTTTTGTACCTGTATCTGTGTCTGCAGGGGTGGTGTGATGTCTCAATGGTTAAGATGCTGGGCTTGTAAACTAGAAAGCTGACAGCTCAGGTTTGAGACTCAAGTGCTGCGGGACAGGGTGAGCTCCCATTCTCACCCTAGCTCTTGCCAACCTACCAATTCAAAAGCACACAAATGCAAGTAGATAAATAGGTACCACTTTAGCAAGAAAGGAATTGCATTCTGTATTTTCATGTTGGCCATATGATAACAGAAGCATCTTTTAGAATACTCTGGCACCCTAGGCTGAGAATCAGAGATGAGCACCATCCTCTTGAGTTGGTAACAAGCCCTTATAAGCAAATGAACACCAACAATGACATCCCCTAAATTCTGCTGAAAATGTTACCTAGCTTGGTAATGAAACATTCAGAAACCAACTAACAATGTCGGAGAACGAACCTCCTCCCTCATATAGCTTTCTCCTCTTGATTTCAGCTCCAGTCCAACCCATCTAAAGTCAATACAAAGAAGAAAGTTCTGTTTCCAGGGTCTATTGAATAGAAAAAGTCGCTAAAAACTCGGCAACTACTGATCATTTCTGCTCCATGCTGGCCTTTGTCAGTCTGTCTTCTGTCCCTTTTGCTGCTCCCTAGATTGGATTATTTTCCAGTATGTGAACCAAGTGAAACCAATTAAAAATGAACAGGTGTTTTGTGAGTTTCACTGACTAACCTGCTTTTCTGTACATCTTTATACTCTTTGGCCTGAGTTTTTAAGCAACTTACTAAGCAAATAAAGGTTACCGTTCAAATATATTAATATACTTGAGTTTCTCTGCATATCCCTTCTTAAGAAGTGAACATAGACTATCAAGTACATGGAATACCCAATTAAGGAGCGTTTACATCCATGGTTAGAGTGAAAATAAAACTTCTAATGGAAAACAGTCCCTAGTAGAATGAGGTATAATAGTTAACTCATTATCCATCCAACTCAGATAAATTTGCTTTCAGAGAAAAGGTGTAGGATATATTTAAGCTGTTTTCTGAAGTCAGGGAGGGCACACAAATAAAACTGGTGCATTGAAATCATTTAAGGCTTAGTAGCCCTATTTAATTTCTTATTCCTTATCCCTTTCGCTTATATGCCAACAAATGTCAATGTTTTGTGGCTGAATTTCAGCAGTGCCATGGGGAGGGGGAGAAATCTTAAAAGGGTGATGAGGCCACAAAAGATCTTTATTTATTTATTTTATTTATTTATTTTATGTAATTTGTATGCCGCCCTATCTCCGTAGACTCAGGGCAGCTCACAACAATAAAAACAAACCCAATAAAACATAAAATACATACAAAATACATAAATGTATAAATATAAATTTAAAACATATATTAAAACCCATTAAAATAATCAAACCCCCTCAGTCCAGGTTGGCCAATGTAAACAATCATGTTTTTAATTCACGGCGGAAGGTTCGAAGGTCAGGAGCCAACCGAAGCCCCAGGGGGAATTGATTCCAAAGAGTGGGCGCACCCACAGAGAAAGCTCTGCCCCTGGGGGTCGCCAGCCAGCATTGTCTAGCCGACGGCACCTGGAGAAGGCCCTCCCTGTGAGAACGTACCGGGCGATGGGAAGCTGTTGCTGGCTGCAGGTGGTCCGACAAATATCCTGGGCCTAAGTCATATAGGGCTTTATAGGTCATTACTAGCACCTTGAATCTCACCTGGAGGGCAACCGGTAACCAATGCAAGTCACACAGGAGGGGTGTAACATGGGAGTATCGGGACCCTCCCATCACAACCTGCACGACCGCATTCTGCACCAGCTGAAGCCTCCGAGTGGTCCTCAAGGGCAGCCCCAGAGAGCATTACAGTAGTCAAGACGGGAGGTGACTAGCGCATGCGTGCGTAGAGCATCTCGCATCTCGGTCCAAATAGGGACACAACTGACGCACCAGATGAATCTGGGCATACGCCCCCCTGGTCACGGCTGTTATGTGATCATCTAAACTCAACTGTGAATCCAGGAGGACACCCAAGTTGCGTGCTCTGTCTACGGGGGTAATACTTCACCCCTATAGCCAGTGATGGAACCTCTCCATCAGATCAAGATGCTGGTACCCACAGCCACTCAGTCTTGGCAGGGTTGAGCCGAAGCCTGTTCGTCCCCATCCAGACCCGTACTGCTTCCAGGCACCGGGACATCATGTCAAGGGCATCACTGGGCTGGTTCGGGGTGGATATAAAAAGCTGGGTATCATCAGCATACTGATGATACCTCACCCCGAAGCCACGGATGATTTCCCCCAGCGGTTTCATATAAATGTTGAACAGAAGGGGTGAGAGAACCGACCCCTGCGGCACCCCACAAGTGAGGGGCCTCATGGTCGATCTCTGCCCTCCTGCCAACACCGCTTGCGTCCGACCCAAGAGGTAAGAGGAGAACCACCATAAAATGGTGCCTCCCACTCCCAACCCCTCGAGGCGCCGCAGCAAGATACCATGGTCGATGGTATCAAAAGCCGCTGAAAGATCTAATAGGACCAGAACAGAGGAATAACCTCTGTCTCGAGCCCTCCAGAGATCATCCACCAGCGCGACCAATGCCGTCTCCATGCTGTATCCGGGCCTGAAACCCGATTGGTCTGGATCGAGGTACTCAGCTTCATCCAGGGCCATCGGGAGCTGATGTGCTGCTTTATGCTGCTTTTAGTGTATGGGATGTTCTTACTCTTGGATAACTAGAAGTGCAAAGATATCATTGTCTAGAGTAGACAACTCACTTGCAAACAAAATATAGTCTGTTTTTCTTTTTTAAGAAAGCTTGAGGCATATGAAAGATTTAAAGATATTTTTAGCAAAAAAAAAAACATAAACAAAAAAAAAACATGATGATGATTAAAAAACTTTGTACCATGCCTGCTGCTGCTACTTCTTTTTAATTAAAGTATCTTCTAAAATATTAAAGTCAGGCAGGAAGCTACATGGATGTTAGTGTCTAGGGTGTCATGTTGCTTTCTTAATCACATTAAGAATTTTGACATACAGATTATCTAAGAGATGTTGATGGTTGCCCTTAATGGCTCTTATGATTCAGAAATTTGCCTAATACCTCTGGCTACACCATTTCAGTAATCCCCTCCATGTTTTACAAAGTTGACTTTGGAGAGTGCATCAAATGATCTTCTCGAGTAGTTGTCCAAGCTCTTGTCTCTCAACTTGGCTGCAAAAGTGACCCATTTACCACAAGGAAAAAAAAATAGAAATCAAAGTAGAACAAAAACAGCAGGGTCCACTGAAATTGGCAGCAATCAACACTTGACTCACACATATTTAGTAGGACAAGGAGAAATTGTTGAGCTCTTGAGATAGGGTGATACTGCCAAGAAAAAGCAGCCATCTCTTTGAGTGTTTTCCACTGGTGGGAAATAACTAATGTATTTACAAGTTGTCGTTCCAAATGCTACCTCATGCCACCCTTTCTTATTCTCACCATTTTTCCAGCACTCCTTTTGCAAAGGGAGAAGCTCACAATGAGTGCAAAGATCTCATTTTTCCTCATGTGGTCTTGGTTTAAATATTCCATATAAATTAGACTTAAGTAATTCCATTTCAAAACCAGGTATTAAATGTGTGGTATTTTGCATGGAATTAAAAGTGGCTAGAGGTGTAAAGGGGTAGAAGTGAGAATTTGAAGGAAACATACTTATGTACCCATACAAAATTTTGGTGGATATGTTAAGAAAAATGCTCCAGCCATGATTTGATTCACCTACTTCAATAAATTGCTATGAAGCAAAGGAGCAAATTGTAGCCTGGATTCTAGTTTATATCCCATCTACTACACAGGGCAGCTTGAGAAATAAAGTTAAAACTGATATAACCAGTCCATCCTAAAATTCAGTGTTTTTGTCTTCTTACAGACAAAGAATAAAGTATCTATTGCTTTGCAGTAGGTGAGTTTTATTTTCATTTTTGTCTTTACTTATCTCTGATATATTCGTTCTTAGATTAAGTTTCTTCCATGCATCTTCCTTGGAAGTGAAATACAGGCTATATCTGGAAAGCTTGTTGTTCTATTAAGAAGGATAATAAATACACATTTACAACATGGTGTAGGCGACACTTGAATTAGCTTATCTTTCTATTCTACTTACTGTATATGACTTCTGTTCAGGGGTGAAATCCAGCAGGTTCTGACAGGTTCTGGAGAACCGGTAGCAGAAATTTTGAGTAGTTCAGAGAACTGGCAAATACCACCTCTGGCTGGCCCCAGAGTGGGGTGGGAATGGAGATTTTGCAATATCCTTCCCCCAGGAGTGGGAAGGGAATGGGGATTTTGCAGTATCTTTCCCCTGCCATGCCTACCAAGCCACACCCACCAAGCCACGCCCACAGAACCGGTAGTAAAAAAAATTGGATTTCACCACTGCTTCTATTCACTTTTTCTTAATTCAGTTTCACACTACTTTTCCTGTAGCTTTGAGCATCACAGTCTTCCACTACTTTAAAAATAATATAAAAGTGTAAAAAGAGTTTTGTAAAAGAGTATAGGAGTAGTATTAAAAGAGCCAGTTTGGTTTAGGGGTTAAGGCTCCAGACCAGAAACTAGGAGACTGTGAGTTCTAGTCCCACTTTAGGCATAAAAGTTGGTTGGCTGATCTCTCTCAGCCCAACTCACCTCACAGGTTTGTTATTGTGGGGAAAATAGGAGAAATATTACATATGTTTGCCAGGCTGAATTATTTATAAAAATAAAAAAGACAGGATTAAGAAAATATTTTTAGAAGAAGAAGAAGGAGAAGGAGAAGGAGAAGGAGAAGGAGAAGGAGAAGAAGAATTTACCTGCCTTTTGCATACTTGTCTCAGCTTTGCCTATTTCTTCTCTTTTATAAATGTGCTTGCAGAAAAAAGCAAGAATTCTCTCCAAGTTAGTTCTAGTCCTTTCATGCTAGAAAACTAAACTGAATGAACCAACCAACCAATCCATTAATTAATATGCATGAGCTAAGAACTATGAATTTCACATAAATATCCTTTTTTCTTTTCTTTCTGAAAGTTTTGGAAAAATAAAGACCCTTTAACGGATTTTTGCTCCCCTGTGAGTTCCGTATTGACTAAACTTTCACTCTGTTTCTGCCTTCTGCCCTTTTGCTGGCTCTGATCTGCCAGTACATCACATGCAGAGCCTGGCAAGGGTTTTCCCTAGAAATCCCAGGGATTATCACTCGTATTTCTTCTCAGATAATTCAACGGAGAGGTTATGCAGAGCTGAATGATTGGAAGGCTTGGAATCATAGCTAAGAGCTTTAAATTGCCCACAAGTGCTAAAGTTGACAGAACAATTCGATACTTACTTTATCTTTATTTAATTGGCTTGGGGGGGGGAGAAGTCCATCTTTTGTATTTTTAAAAAGTTCTGTGTGATGTTTCAAAGGACAAGATAACCTAAGAAAGTTTTGTTTCCCATCAGTCGCTACCCCTTTTCTTTCTCTCATCTCTCTCTTTCTTTTTCACACGCATACATTATTCTTCAGTTCTGAGGCAATCATTTCTCCCATTTCATGGTTTGATTGTCTAGCTAAAAGAGAAGTTATATTTTAGGGGAAAACATTATCTTAAATTTTCACACAATCACCTCAAGAAAGTCACAATTTGTACAAGATTCACTATGTTTACTTCCTAGGATCTTAATATACTGCAGAATATTGAACTGTCTGCATCTTATTTCCAAGTGAATTTTAAAAAATGGTAATATATTATGGACATGTCAAGAGTCATAGCTAATTCCAAAGGAATATTTGTAAAGTAAATACTGCAAGGGTTTTTGTATACTGTAAAAGAAAGAAAGATAATAAATCAGGGAGAAGAGAGACATATCACTAAGTATACTTGCCATCCACCTCAGCAATACCGAAGGAGCAGCAAACTAATCCTATTGGTTTCTAGAGAGATTCTCAGTCATCCAAGTCATATTGTCCCAAAGGGTGCTTTTTCAAAAGGCAATTGGACTTTGTTTTTCTTTGAAAATGTTTCACTTCTCATCCAAAAAGATTCTTCAGATCTGATTGGGACATCTGAGTGGGACAATCCTACTTTTTTTTTTCTTTTGAATAAACTCTTCTAGATGTTTACTGCTACTTAGTTTCCATTTCACTGTGTCAAGAACTTGGTGAGTTGTATTTTCTAATTCATCCTCTTTTATTTTACAACCCTTTCCAAAAAGGAAACCCATTCCCTTTTCCCAAAAAGGACATGCCAAATCTTTTCTTCACATTGGATTTTGGATATAGATAGATAGATAGATAGATAGATAGATAGATATTAAAAAAGAGGTAAGCTCTAGTTGCTATAACATTATATAACATATGTATATAATATAACATATATTAAAAAAGAGGTAAGCTCTAGTTGCTATAACAAATTTAAAAAGCAGTTTCCACTTCAGAGACGTCTATATCTCAACACTGCTGGCAGCAGTATATTTTAGTAATGGAGAACAGTTGATTTAAAGTAAAAGGAAAAAAAGATGTTTTGTGCTCTGCTCAGGTAGCTATGGATTTTGCAGGGTTGCTCAGTTATTTACTAGAGGGATTGAGAGGATTTAAGCCCAGATCCTCATAGCTTTGGCCAGGTAGTCCTAGGCAGGAGCCAAGAATAGCCTTCTTGTCTCAAACAACAAAACAGGAAGGAATTGCTAGAAGAGGCACTGCTACATCTCTTTTTATGAATGTTCAAGGTCATTGACGCTGGAGCCAGATGAATTTGTAAGCTTTAAAAAAAAGATCTCCTACTGAGCCATTTTATCTCCACACACAGATAAGCTGGTCAGTAAATGCTTTGCTGAATTTTCTCCGGCTTCTGTTTATTTTTGTTCTTCAGGCAGCCACTTCATGCAGGAAAAAAGATTGGTTCTTTTCTGCTTCTATAGGTTGAATTTATTCATGGTTCCTGAAATAGTACCAATTTCTTTTGGAAGGTGTACCCTCTCATTCTCTCTTTCCTTTACTGTGCTGTCTGACACAATTCAGGCCTGTTTCAAAAGAATTGACCCAGACTTTGTTTACCAAAGTTGGAAAGGAATACGGCTTCCTTTACAGTCCCAGTGTGGCTGAACAAAAGAGGGGAGGCATTGGTTTGAACAGTACCCTTGGCTCTCAGATTTCAATGCCACTGGTTTGTTTGTTTGTTTGTTTATTTATTTGTTTGCTTGCTTGTGCAGCAGAACTTTGGCAGTTCTATTTTGCTATAAGCGATCACTGAATTTAGAGCCAATTTTCAGAAAATATCCAAGAATTGTTTAAATGTGAATCATCTCCTCAGCATTTGCCACATTTCCATTCAGTCATTTTGGAAAGAAAGAAAGAAAGAAAGAAAGAAAGAAAGAAAGAAAGAAAGAAAGAAAGAAAGAAAGAAAGAAAGAAAGAAAGAAAAGAAAGAAAGAAAGAAAGAGAAAGAAAGAAAGAAAGAAAGAAAGAAAGAAAGAAAGAGGGAAAAGAAAAGAAAAGAAATTTATTTCTTTACCCAAACTTGTGCCCACGTGACACCCCTCCTGCGCGAGCTGCACTGGCTCCCAGTGGTCTTCTGGGTGCGATTCAAGGTGCTGGTTACCACCTTTAAAGCGCTCCATGGCATTGGACCTGGATTCCTTTGAGACCGTCTTCTGCCACCAGTAGCCTCCCACCGGCCAGTTCACTCCCACAGAGAGGGTCTCCTCAGGGTGCCATCGGCCAAATTATGTCGGCTGGCGACACCCAGGAGGAGGGCCTTCTCTGTGGGAGCCCCTGCCCTTTGGAATGAACTGCCCGCAGAAATTCGTAAAATCTCTGATCTCCGTGTATTCCGCTGTGCCCTCAAAACCATGTTGTTCTGCCAGGCTGGGCTATCAATGTAAAGATTTTAATTGGTTTTAAATGGGATTTTAAATTTGGGGTTTTATAAATTGGGCCTATTATTTAATAATTTTAATTATTTTTTAAATTTTGTCTGTCTTTGTGTTTTTAATTAGGCTGTACACTGCCGTGAGTCCTTCGGGAGAAGGGCGGTATAGAAATAAAATTAATAAATAAATAATAAATAAAATATGTAGAATAGAATAGAATAACAAAGTTGGAAAGGACCTTGGAAGTCTTCTAGTCCAACCCTCCGCTTAGGCAGGAAACCCTACACCACTTCAGACAAATGGTTATCCAACATCTTCTTAAAAACTTCCAGTGTTGGAGCATTCACAACATTTGCAGGCAAGTTGTTCCACTTATTAATTGTTCTGTCAGAAAATTTCTCCTTAATTCTAAATTGCTTCTCTCCCTGATTGGAACACTGCTATCATGTCTCCCCTAGTCCTTCTTTTCATTAAACTAGACATATATATCTGCTTCTTCATCTTAGCCTCATAGAGAACTAATTAAAGATATAGTAGCATTTGATAGGGAATAATGATATAGAAATCACTGTCTTGTCATTTTGGAGATTTGAGGAATGATCAGTTAAGGCTGCAGTACTACTGGCATGTGATTTCCTTGTCTTGCACCTAGATTACTTTAGTAGTTTCCTGGCAGGTGTTCCTTTGACTTCCTGTGGTGTTGAAAAGGTATTTTTCATAAAATGTTCACTTACAGATATTTTCAACCTGGGATCATCCTAAGGGGTAGCACTGTCTTACCTGAAAGAGTTGATGTTAATGGCAGCTGCCAACAGGAGTTTTTCCTATTTTATCTTCTGGCACCAAAGACAATGTTTTCCAATCTGGGATTCCAATATATTTATTACATTTGATTTGGGGGAAATCAGTGGTATTTCTGTAGATGTACGAATATATTTCTTTGGGAGGCTGCTGTAAAGAGGAAACAAAAGAAAAGGAACATAAGGAATGATGTTCTTAGAAAGTTAGGAAGTGAGATCACAGCATTCAAAGAATGAGTAAGAGAACACTGAATGT